TGTTAGCCTTTTTATATATTATACTTATATAATAAATCTTTATAATTAATAAGTATTATATAATAGGCATATTTAAAAACAGATTATCTAAATAAACGTAGAATTTAAGCTGTTTTAAAAGCTATTTAGCTAAGTATAAAATAAGCGCAAATATAAGTATTAATAAAGTGCGCTTAGCATCTATAGAGCATAAGTGTTACGCAGAATGCTGAGCAACAGAGTGTGAGGGTGCTATAAAGATAGCGGAGAGTTATAAAGAAGCTATAGGAGGCAACTGTATGACTATGTCAAGTGGGTGTGTATGAAGATGGATGGATATCTAAGTGCTATAGAGGCGAGGATAAAGGTATGACGCGCAGGGCGCCAAGCCTGCCCTAGCCCTCAGCCCTAAGACCGGATGCGGCATAGCACTAGTGGAGCATTTGGTGCGCAGCTAATGCTTGGCCAATGCCATGCCCTGCCCTAACGCCTCTCTAGGCCATAGGGCATTTTGTGCTGTAATAACAAGTATAGCCAGCTTATTTTTATCCTCTTCTTAAGTGTTTTAACTTTATTTATTCTAGAGTAAAGTAACTAGCTTTAAATATATCTATAATTACTAATATATTATAGCTTATAACTTGTATTAATAGGCTTGTTCTTTAGCTTAATTATATGCTTTAAATAGCCTACAAAAGCAATTATAGCTTTATTAATAGTAATATAAGAGAAGGGATAAAAGGAATTTTAACAAGTAATTTAAATAAGGTTAGTTATACGTTAAATTTAATAAAACTAGAGTATATTTAGAGGTGTAAAAGCACTATTTATATTAAAAAAGTAATAAATAAGTTTGAATTAATCTTAACTTATAAATTAATCTAGATTATATAGTTTCTAATAATCTATTTATATTATTAAATAATACAAGTCAAAATAGAGATTTATCCCTATAAATATACGTATTTCTGCCAGCGTAATAGATACCTAGTGACATTTCTCAAGAAAAGAAGGATTTTGTAATTTGAACGCAGCGTATTTGTTGGTTTCTTTAGAGAGGATTTCTATTACGAAATCGCTAAAAAAGAGCTGAAAAAAGCCCAATTCAGATAGATTAGTGTATCGAGAAGCTCCTGCTCGATTTCGAACGTAATTGGCCTCAAAATGAGGGAGTTCTGTTGAAATGAATGTCGAGGGTTCATCTGCGCATTCTGGCGTCGGGGCAATCACTGCCAAGGCTTGATC